ACTAAAGCCATAGTCTTCACTTACATTTGAAGTTTGTTAACATGTAGTGCATGAAAAGGAAATAAAAACACATTTTCATTTAGATTATTTCATATCAGTTGAGCTGTTTTGTTGTTCCTTTCAAAAATTGCTTGCTCTGGAGAATATTTGACTCCCATGGAGTGTCTAGCTAGCACTTCAGAGACGAAAATAGGGAAGACACAAGGAATACCTTTTTGTTCTTAATTCTTTAACATACAGCACTCTGTGGAAGATTAGTGCGAATTATTGCAATTTATGTACGTGACTTCTGTCGAAAAGCAAAAAAAAAAAAAAGTTAGTTTCCTGCTTTTTTTGCAAGCAAAAGGAGCCAAATAAAATTGTCATCCATTTACCTTTCATTTAGTTTCCACTTAATCTCACTTAACTAGATTGCTGTGTAATGAAACATTTTTGTCGGTATGTGTGCGATCAACTAGGTTGTTGCCTTTTAAAATATACTATCTAAAAACATTTTAAGCTTCTATCTAATCCTATTCATATGACAAGGCTATTCATCAACTGTGGAATGAATGGTATAGGAGTTGTTGATTCAAGGCAAAAAGAAAATCAACTAGCTGGTGGTGGCAATCCTGGTGACTTTTGTTTTGAATGTGATGTATCTAAGGGTGTGAATGAGAATGAAAATAGGTTTCTGGAATATCTTGGTTTGAACGTGAATGGTAGGGTCATCACAATTGTACTGCAGGAAATGTCTTTTTTAATACCTAGTGTCCCTGGCAGAATCGTGGTGATGTTTTAAGAATGAGCTTTTTCTTACTCTCCAGTGTAATTCTTCTTTGTAATTCAACTTTTAAATTCCAGATTCCTAGAAAATCTAAATTGGCTGTTCACAGGAATATCAGAGATGATGAAGGCTTTATTATCCGACATTTTGCAGGAGCAGTATGCTATGAGACGGTAATTTTACTTACACAAAACTATTTTTGTTACACTTTGTAGAACTTTTATATTTTTCAAAATATATAGGTTAAATAACAAAATTTCAT